AGGGTATTGCGGACTTATCTGCTGACCCTGCTGCGGCCAAGGTAGCTGGTGGATCCAGATGCAGACACGGATCCCTGAAACTTAACTCTCCTCGTGTCCAGTCTATTAGGGGATTATGGGTTCTGAGCCAGGAAAGTCCCAAAATAAGTGGAAAACGGGGCATACGGGCGATGTTGAATTGTAGCTGTTCCTGATGTTGTTGAACCTGGAGGATGACCGGTTGGGTTTCTTGGGTCACAGGACCAGAACGGAGGAGACGTCCATCTATGGATTCGACTAGGGTCGGGGTTTCCTTATCTTGTACAGGGATCCGGTGCCGTTTCACAGAAGCGGTGTCGATAAAACAGCGATCCGCCCTAGAGTCATCTATGGCATGAACGAACAACCAACGTCCATCTGGCAGGCAGAGTTTAACGGGTACAAGGAATGGTCCTGGGATGTTAAGGTATGGTTCAGGGGACCCGGCTAAGTGCCCCACATCTGAGAGCCCATTCAGACATGAGGCAATTCTTTTAACGGTTTCACAGAGTCAAGGTTATGCCGCTTAACCAGACAGCCCGAAGCAAAGTGTCCTGCTCCCCCACAGTACAGACAAAGATTCTGGGAGCGGCGTCGTGTCTTTTCCTCAGGGCTGAGGCGGGGCCAAGCTCCTCCCAATTGCATAGGTTCAGAGTCCTCTGGTCTGTTATTGGAAGCTAGCAAGGGTGACTGCAGGAGATGGGGACCACCCTGTGCTAAGCGTCGGCTCTCCAAGCGGCCATCAATGCGTAAGCATAGAGTAATTAGCTCTTGCAACGTGTTGGGTCGATCTACACGTGCCAGCTCATCCAGGATCCTATCAGCTAACTCCTCCATATATTGGTCCATAAGAGCTGCCTCATTCCAGAGTAAGTCTTGAGCCAGGAGTCTGAACTCGGTAGAATACTGAGAAACTGAAGCCTTTCCCTGCTTCAGGGCCCGAATCTTTCTGTTAGCTGTGGCAGCTTGCAAGGGGTTAGCAAACGCGGCCGAGATATATTCCAGAAAACCCTGGTAATTAGTTAACAGGGGTGAAGGAGCAAGAAGCAAAGGAGTAGCCCATTTAGCTGCCTGACCCTTGAGTAAACTGATTATGAAGCATACCTTGGTTTTGTCTGTGGGAAAGTCTCTGGCGCGCAGCTCAATGTACAGCTTGCTTTGTGCCAAGAATGCTGGAAACACCTCCACATTGCCTTCAAATTTTTCAGGAGGAAGGACAGGACATTTTGCTGGAGCAGCAGCATCAGTTTGTAATTGTATTTGTTGTTGTTGGAGCTGGCCGACTGCCTGAGTTAGGAATTACACCTGAGCAAGCACAGCATTCAGTGGACCTGAGTCTTTGTTTGCTTTTCCCTCCATGTTGGGAAAAGCATGGGGGTGGAAGCAATCTGCCACGTTCCCGGGGGTTACAATAGCCGAAGTCCGATAAACCAGTCCAAGGTCAGAGATACCAAGAATGCAAAGCCAAAGTCCCGAAACAAACTTACAGAGTGCAGTCCAATGTCAAAGTCCAGGGTCAGATACACAGTCAGAGTCCAGAGTTCAGAGTACAATACCAACGTAGTCCAGGGCCAAGGTCCAAAGTCCAATACCAGCACAGTCCAGGGTCAAGGTCCAGAGTTCAGAGACAGGAACAAGAGACGTGGATGCCAGCCAAGGTTTTGACTCCTTGCTTCCATGAAGTTTCTGGCTTCACTGAAGCTTGTTTTATACTAAAACAGCTCCTTGAGCTGTTGGAAAGCTCTCTATTCTGCTAGTACTCAGGACTAGGTGAACGTAGGTCCCTGTGGAAAGCCTTAGAGCGATCCTCCGCTCTTCTTGCCCCGAGTCTTTTCCGAAGCCTGCCCCGAAGCCTGTCTGCTGTGGAGGGAGAATCTGGAGGCTGCTCAGCTGTTTCCGATCTCTCCACATTCTCCTCAGCCACAGTTAACCCTTCTGGGTCCAGATCTTCGGAAGCACTCATGACACCTTGGTAAATTCTTTGCAATGCTTGCAATGGGTAGTCAAATGTGTTTCTCCTAAACAGAAGACACAGAAGGAATGGCCGTCTTGAAAAGGCAGCTTCCTGGAACAGGATGAGCAAAGTCTAAAAGGACCTCTTTTAGGAGACGGTTTTCTTTTAGGTGGCATAAGCTAATAGAAGCAGGAAACCGTGATAATAGAAAGAGTCCGGTAGGCGCGTGGCACCTCAGCGGGCGGTAAATAGGCGCCAATTAATCAATTTAGAGTACTTGCGCTATCACCAGAGGCAGAAGAGAAGTCAAAACAATCCATAGTCAGGGCAACAGAGAAAAGGAGGTTGATAAGCCAAATCCAGGTCAAATACACGATGAAAAAATAAGTTTTTAACACAGCTCTAACCGAGAGGTCCCGACTCCACTGGCAGAAAAAATGGAACTGGGGTTTAGCGGGCGGAGCATGCGCTGTACAGGGCAACTCAAACTTTGTTACTTTTCTTATAGATCTAGAAAGTTCTGAGAGGCCAGCGCAGGCACTGTCTTAACCCACTAGTGTGGATTCATAGAGACCACATTGAAGAAGGAAAATTAGTTCCTATTTACAGTCTGCATGGGCTTGATCCATCCCCAATTTACTTCAAAGATCCAGTCCTATCTCAGTTTAGGGCTGCAGGAATCTAGTCTTGAATATACCGTATTTTTCCGTGTGTAAGATGCCCCCCACATTTCTAATACAAAATTAAGAAATCAATATTTTAAGCATAAAACAATATATTTTTATTTAGTGATTAGGTAACATTTATATACCAAGTCTGCATGGGCTTGATCCATCCCCAATTTACTTCAAAGATCCAGTCCTATCTCAGTTTAGGGCTGCAGGAATCTAGTCTTGAATATACCGTATTTTTCCGTAAGATGCCCTCCACATTTCTAATACAAAATTAAGAAATCAATATTTTAAGCATAAAACAATATATTTTTATTTAGTAATTAGGTAACATTTATATACCAGTACTCTCATAATATGCATCACACTTAGCTTTGAGCATATCACTTTATTCAGCCTCTGGGCTCAGAACAGTCGTACATTACCAGTCCCTGTTGCATCTGAGCACTGTCTACATACTCCACCTCCAATGAGGTGTATTCCAATTGGTTGTTCTGCATCAGCTGACGTCAGTAACAAGGCTCATGGTTGGACGAAGCTAAGTCTCTTGACTGTAGGAAGCTAAGCCTTCGTGATTCAAGGCAACTAAGCCTCATGACTGAAGGAAACCTGTTTGCAGAGGCAAGGTATGGGCAGTTTTGCAATCACACAGTCCTCTTGACTTACTTCTGTGTATAAGACGACTCAATTTTTAGTCTAAAGATTTTAGACAAAAATATTGTCTTATACACTGAAAAATGCAGTACTGTACCTACCTCAAAACCTGATCCTGGCAATACTATAGAGAACCATAGAAGGCTCTGTTGCACTCCTTGATAAATAAATGAGGAAGCTAAATGAACCCTGTACCAAAACAATTTTCAAGTCTCTATGGAGTGTTATTTGTTTGACCTTATAATTAAAAAAAAGGAAACCTTATTTTTAATTATTATTGAGCCTCTCATTTTTGCTGGATAAAGGCAAAAGAGCTTAACTTCGTCCTTCCCATGGGAGAGGCCCAGTATCCAACAATGATTCACACACTTACAATTAATTTAACAGTAGTTACAATTAATTTAACAGTATTAATATTAGTAACAATTAAAACCTGTTTTTCCAAGGCATTGATCTCTCTTCCTTGTTCTTTTTCGAGTTGTGCTATTTTTTCTGCTGCTTCTTTTACTAAAAAGAAAAAGAAAGAGACAACTTCAGTAATTCAATTGGTAATGCAATAAAACAGACATTTGATCCTTCTACTAAACCCATTTTTTCTGATGGGGAGAAAATTCAAATATTTGAATGTATCACAAATGGTTGTTGTGGGTGTTTCGGGCTCTTTGGCTGTGTTCTGAAGGTTGTTCTTCCTAACATTTCGCCAGTCTCTGTGGCCGGCATCTTCAGAGGACAGCATTCACAAATGTCCCAATTATTTATAGTTGTGTCTATTCCACAATGCATGTCTTTATGGGAAAATATTATGTCTGATAAGAACATGGTCTTCAGGATGTTTGATCTGTGATTGTACACCACAATCACAAAACTAAAGATTGTAATTTATAAACAATAATAGAAAAGGTGTGTAGAAAAATAATATGGGTCATAAAGAGATTCTGTCAACCAGTCATTCCTGAACCCTATCAGCAACAAGAAACTTCACTCCAAGATAAGAGGAAACCCCTCTAGGTATCCATTTCAGAAATTAGTGTATCACAGTAAAGTCCCAATATTTCAACTGACTGGTGAGTCTGCAATTTTCCATCAGTGGAAAATATTCTTCCCATGGGATGCAAAGAAGCATTTCCCACTAAAACTCCTGAGCTGGATAAGATTTAAACTATGCTCCTTGTCTCATTTGGGAGACCCTTGCCTCTGCAGTATTAGACTGAAACAAATAACAAGAGATTTTAGTCTTCCCTAGACCTTGGTCTAGTGTCCCCTTCATGGATTGCTGCCTTGTCATGGCGAAGGGGCTTGAGTAATTCAGAGAAGCTATGGGTTATGCCATGCAGGGACACCCAAGACGAATAGGTCATACTGGAGAGTTCTGACTAAATGTGATCCACC